TACAATATGATTATTTTATAGATGTTATTATATAGTTTATAATGTGAAAGTAGAATCTATGATATTATTTTAATTAATGTAATATATGAAATGAAGAAAATGAAATCTAATTTAAAGAGACAGTATGCACAATTTTTATTTTTCAAAAAACATCAGTAAATTATACCTGAAAATATACTATTTATATCTATATATCTACTTGATCAAACTGAATTTATTTTAAAAGGGGTTAATTAAAAAACAGAGAGTACTAATTGTTAATTAAGCAGTTTGACCTAGTTTTGGTGTTTAGCTTTATAATGGCCTGATATTATTAGTTAAAACCTTAAGAAAACCTAGGAGATATATTTCTCTACAATAAGTTATTTATTTTACCTTAATCCGTACTCAATAGTTTTCTAGTGTTGATTATCTAACACCTTCCAAAAAGCATAATGAATTTAAAAAGTTTTTTCATTTGAGGAGTTCACTACTATACTATTATTATTCTGATTTTGTCATACTTTGTACAAGATTTTTGATGATCATTTTATTTATATTTTTATTATTTATTTTATAGAAACAGAGATCTAACCATGAAACTACCATTCCCTCTACAATAGAAGAAGAATTATTATACAATCCATTTATGAGAGTTGGGTAGGTATTTATTATCTCCCCTTCCTCTTCTTACAGTATGTTAACTATCTTAATTTCCATCATTGCCCACTGCATGGCCTACTATCAAAGTAAAGTGGTTGGTGAAATCCTGAATTAAATAATAACAGTTCTTTTAGTTGCTGACACATGTTTCAGATACACAATCCTCATCAGGACAGCTAGATTAATTAGGAATTAACTTTCCAGTATTAACTAAGTTAAATTTATTATTTATGTATTATGAATGTTTTGAACTCTATCATAGTATTTGATAGTTAGTTTTTATTTTTATAGAGTTGAGAGTTTACAGAAGAAAGTCGGTGGTTCAGATGAAATTGATACAATGGGAAAACTGAGAGAGGCAAAAAATAGTTTTAAACCTCCTCAACATAAAATATAAACTCTTACCTTTCTTAGACCAGACCTGTTTCTTCTTACACAGATTATCTTACCTCAATTTACCAGAAATCAGAAAAAAACAAATTAGCCCCCTGACAAACAACCTTCATCCCTGATATAAATATAAACAAATTAGTTCCCCTGACAAACAAACAACCTTCATCCCTGATATAAATATAAACAAATTAGCCCCCCTGACAAACAAACAACCTTCATCCCTGATATAAATATAAACAAATTAGCCCCCCTGACAAACAAACAACCTTCATCCCTGATATATATATAAACAAATTAGCTCCCCTGACAAACAAACAACCTTCATCCCTGATATATATATAAACAAATTAGCCCCCTGACAAACAAACAACCTTCATCCCTGATATATATATAAACAAATTAGCTCCCCTGACAAACAAACAACCTTCATCCCTGATATATAAATATAAACAAATTAGCCCCCCTGACAAACAAACAACCTTCATCCCTGATATAAATATAAACAAATTAGCCCCCCTGACAAACAAACAACCTTCATCCCTGATATAAATATAAACAAATAACTTCCCCTGACAAACAAACAACCTTCATCCCTGATATATATATATACACAAATTAGCTCCCCTGACAAACAACCTTCATCCCTGATATATAAATATAAACAAATTAGCCCCCCTGACAAACAAACAACCTTCATCACTGATATAAATATAAACAAATTAGTTCCCCTGACAAACAAACAACCTTCATCCCTGATATATATATAAACAAATTAGCTCCCCTGACAAACAAACAACCTTCATCCCTGATATATAAATATAAACAAATTAGCCCCCTGACAAACAAACAACCTTCATCCCTGATATAAATATAAACAAATTAGCCCCCCTGACAAACAAACAACCTTCATCCCTGATATAAATATAAACAAATTAGTTCCCCTGACAAACAAACAACCTTCATCCCTGATATAAAAATATAAACAAATTAGCTCCCCTGACAAACAAACAACCGTCATCCCTGATATGTAAATATAAACAAATTAGCTCCCCTGACAAACAAACAACCTTCATCCCTGATATAAAAATATAAACAAACTAGCTCCCCTGACAAACAAACAACCTTCATCCCTGATATATAGATATAAACAAATTAACTCCCCTGACAAACAAACAACCTTCATCCCTGATATAAAAATATAAACAAATTAGCTCCCCTGACAAACAAACAACCTTCATCCCTGATATAAACAAAATAGCTCCCCTGACAAACAAACAACCTTCATCCCTGATATATAGATATAAACAAATTAACTCCCCTGACAAACAAACAACCTTCATCCCTGATATAAAAATATAAACCAATTAGTTCCCCTGACAAACAAACAACCTTCATCCCTGATATATAAATATAAACAAATTAGTTCCCCTGACAAACAAACAACCTTCATCCCTGATATAAAAATATAAACAAAATAGCTCCCCTGACAAACAAACAACCTTCATCCCTGGTATATAAATATAAACAAATTAGTTCCCCTGACAAACAACCTTCATCCCTGATATGAATATAAACAAAATAGCTCCCCTGACAAACAAACAACCTTCATCCCTGATATATATATAAACAAATTAGCTCCCCTGACAAACAAACAACCTTCATCCCTGATATATATATGTAGATAATCATCATCAGAAAGTGTCATTAATAATAAAATATAATTTTAGATTAAATCAATACTGAGATAGTAAGAAAATCTAGGTTAATCCTGGTTTTCATTAGGTTTTTTTCTCCTCCAAGCAATTCTTATTCTTTTATCTTTTTTCCCTCTAGTCTTTATATAATTGTCAAGACAAAATCTTGAAAATAAGAAAATAAATTGGTCTGGTGTTTATATTGTTTATAAATACCAGACCAAAGACTTGTTGTTTATATAATGAAATGATAATAAAAGATGAACGTTGTTTTTATAATAATTTGATTATGAAAAATCTGATGATCCATGTTTTTTTTAAGAATCAATCGATAATAAAACTATAAGATGAACGTTGTTTTTATTTTATGATAATCAAATTATGAAATTGAAAGCTGATTTTTTAAATGCATTCATAATAAATATAAGAACAAGTGAAGAGGAATTTTCCTTTAGGGTCTCCTGGATCTGATGTGTATGGCCGACTGGTATCACTCGAATAGAGTATCTCCGTCTTCATTTTAACAAATTAATTATTTCGTTTAATCGAATAACTTATTTCGTTTAAACGAAATATATGACGTTATTACGTTTAAACGAATTAATTATTTAGTTTACTCGAATAACTTATTTCGTTTAAACGAAATATATGACGTTATTACGTTTAAACGAATTAATTATTTAGTTTAATTGAATAACTTATTTCGTTGAAACGAATTATTTGATAAAAGTACGGAAAATTGCGCCTAAGGGGCTTCGTATTATCATTTAAAATAAGTTCAAGAGTTCAATATTCTGATAAAAAACTATTAAAAAACTAAAAGTAATGTTTGTAACATTTTGGAATAAATTAATTCCTTTTGATCGTGGTCATTCAATATTTTATATATATAATTGACCACCAAGATAATTCAACACTTGTTTCATTAAAAATATTAATTGGTTTTCTCAAATGAGTATAAATAACAACACCATTTTCGGTGTTCAGTTTTCTGTCTTGAATAAAGTCTTCAGAAGTACTAGAAATGTACGAAAAAATCTTATAATTCTTTCAAAATATATCAAACTAGGAATTTTACTCACTATTTCTATATATGTCTTTTCTATATATGACAGTGTCTCAAAAATAGAAGACTCGTTATATTAATTTTCAAACGCAGATAATTCTGGACACACATGGATTTGAAGGCTTAAATTTCGACGGTGAGCTATGAACACTTTTACTCATTAGCTTAGCTAAAAAAATCAGTCTGAGACTAAAGTATGATTGATCAAACAGATGGCGAACCTGTCCCGAAGTACTGAATATCTAAAGTTAATTGACGAACACGATGATTATTAAAAAAGCTGTTGACTATCCTCGTTCTATTCTGCTCGAGACTGACAAAATGAAATGAATAGAGTTTTACGTTCTACTTTTCTACACCATGTGGGCTAATGAAGACAAGCAACGCCCTGCATGGTGCAATGAGGGAAAAGTTTTCCAGGAAAGCGGCATTAGCCTACTCTTTGGTCAATTTTCAACTGTCAAATGATCTTTAACGTACAAAGGCTGTAGCACACGGGGCCTCCAGGCTAAAATTTATTGTAATTTATTATGTAGTAGTAATGTTACAAATATGACAGTAAACTTGACAGATGGGTCTCCTGTCAAACAACTACAATACAATACCGTATAGTATAGTGGATATATGACAGGAGAAAACACATTCACCGTAAGGCAGAGGTTTACAACCTTTTTCTTTCTATTACCCCTTTCAGGTTCCTTGATCAATAACATTACTCCCCTCTCCTACTAAATCCTTTCTATTTCCCCTTTTTACCAGTTTATTTTTACATGTTCAAAACTAACTACTATTAACTATGTTAACTTCACCCTATTTTTAATAGATCTCTTTATTTGTGAACACAGTTTCCATGAATTTCCTCACTACCCTTTTTAGGACCATTACCCCCGACTGAATAGAACGAGTTGAAATATTTCGTTTTAATTAATTACAAAGCGTTTCATAACGGACAATTATCCACGTTGAAAACTTCTGCCTCGGGGTTATTTGAATAAACAAATTGAAAGAGAATAGTCTATTGTATATCAGGGGACAGTAAAGAATAGAGATTAGAGATTGAAGGGTATAGATATTTGTTATACATGTGTAGGTCACGATTGATAGTTAAGTGTTAAGGGTTTATTGTGTACTCGAGGTTATAGGGTATCTTCATATATTTGATGGAGGCGCAACTTTCAGTTATACATCGACTCAATATTACACCATATTCAACGACTAACACGACTACCAACAAATTGCTACCAAGTTTGTGATAGACGTTAATTTGTCATCTACCATCAACTGATTCGTCTGTAATATCAGTTAGCTGCAGGCAGACGTTATCTTGTCATCTACCAACAACTACCTAGTCTGTGATATCAGTTAACTGGTAGCGAACGTTAACTTGTCATCTATCAACAACTACCTAGTCTGTGATATCAGTTAACTGGTAGCGAACGTTAACTTGTCATCTATCAACAACTACCTAGTCTGTGATATCAGTTAACTGGTAGCGAACGTTAACTTGTCATCTATCAACAACTACCTAGTCTGTGATATCAGTTAACTGGTAGCGAACGTTAACTTGTCATCTATCAACAACTACCTAGTCTGTGATATCAGCATCCACTGGAAGAGAACGTTAACTTGTCATCTACCAACAACTACCTAGCCTGTGATATCAGTTGACTGGAAGCGAACGTTAACTTGTCATCTATCAACAACTACCTAGCATGTGATATCAGTTGACTGGAAGCGAACGTTAACTTGTCATCTATCAACAACTACCTAGTCTGTGATATCAGTTAGCTGGAAGTGGACTTTAACTTTTCATCTACTAACAACTACCTAGTCTGTGATATCAGTTGACTGGAAACAGTCGATAACTTTTCATCTACTAACAACTACCTAGTCTGTGATATCAGTTGACTGGAAACAGTCGATAACTTTTCATATACTAACAACTACCTAGTCTGTGATATCAGTTGAGTAGAAACGGGCTTTAACTTGTTATTTTTATATCGACATTAGGTTTAGATTCAAGAATAATGCCGGAGTATGATAATACTGTATTGCGAAATAAACTGTAAGCTGAATTGAATGATCAGCAAAGAGAAACTTGTGTAAATAAGAATATTGAAAATATAAAACAGGTTTAGAGTCTGTTGGAGAAACAGTGGAGGATTATTGAACAGGTAAGTCCATTCTTAATTCTATTTATCCAAGGAGGACATGTACGTCAATCAAAAATCTCGTCCAAAGAAT